TTTTTTTTTTTTTTTTGGTACCGGGAATCGAACTCATGACCTCATGCTTGCCAGGTAAGCATTGTGCCGCTGAAATATATTCCCAGCCCAAGCCCCTGTCTAAGACCTCAGACATTTCTCTGCATGGCCATAGGTCATTATTTTCCTTAAGGACTTTAACATGGTAGGATTGAATAAACAGGCCACATTCCAACTTCCTAACTGTTGCAATTACCAACTTTATTTATTAAAAATTCAGGATTTAGCCGGGTGTGGTGGTGCACGCCTGTAATCCCAGCACTCGGGAGCCTGAGGCAGGAGGATCGTTGCAAGTTCAAGACCAGCCTGGACTACAAAGTGAGCTCAAGGCCAACCTAAACTGCATAGCAAGACCCAGTCTCAAAAAAGACAAATAAATAAATAAATAAATAAATAAATAAAATTCAGGATTTAGCTGGCCGTAGTGGCACATGACTGTAGTAATCCCAGCATTCTGGGAGGCTGAGGCAGGAGGATTGCATATTCAAGCCCAGTCTGGGCAACTTAATGACTTAGCAAGACTTAAAATGAAAAATAAATAATAAAAAATAAAAAGGGTTGGAGGTGTAGCTCAGTGCAATAGGCCTGGGTTTAATCCCCCGTAACACACACACACACACTCTGGAATCTACAATGACTTTCCTCTCCCACCCCATATGACTATGTGTGACCTCTTAAACATAGCCTAGATCAATTCCCAAAAGTAGAAGTTGAAAGCTGGGCGCGTGGTGGCGCCCGTCTGTAGTCCCAGCTCTCGGCAGGCTGAGGCAGGAGGATTGCCCCGAGCTACTTCAAATCATCCACTGTAATGGAAGGCTGTGCTTCCCGGTGCGGGCCGGTGCAGGACTGTGCTTCCCGGTGTGGGCCGGTGCACTGCGCCTACACCAGTGGCGCTTGCTTTCTCCCGGGGGACTGCGGGTCACCAGGCGAGCTCTGTGCGGCGACACCGCTGTTTCCCACGGCTCCGCCCACGCCACCGCGAAGCCAGAAGCTTTGGTCTTTGCTTTTCCAGACAGCAAGTGAGATCCCTGGGAGGCTTTTAATTTGTATCGATGTTGTGATGACTGCGGTTTCGTCCTCACCCGGGCTGCGGTTTCCGGAGCCGCCGCAGGAATTCTCCCGGGAGCGCAGGGCTGCGCACGGGGCGCAGGCTGGAGGGGCTTGGGGTCCTCGGCGGGGCTGGATCTGGGTTGCACTGCGCCTAGCAGGGCCGATCCACACACGCGTGCATCTGCTCGCAGCGACCGGCGGGTAGGGTGCGGGTGCTGTGCTAGGTACCAGCGGGAGGTACCTGGTGTGCAGGGAGACAAAAGACGCCCCCCAAGAACCGGCTAGGGGACGGGGAGGGCCTGACAACTACAGGGGCAAGAGCGGACCCGCCTCACAACTAGGGGACCCCGCCCACATCTGGGCGGGGCTAATGTCCCAGGGGCGGAGCTAACACCTCAGGGGCGGGACTGACATCCCAGAGAGAGGTGCTGAGATCCCAGGGGGTGTAGCTAATATGGAGGTGGGGGGGCTGATAATCCAGAGGGTGTGGCTAATACTTCACGAGGAGGTGCTGACATTCTAGTGGGAGGGACTAAGTATTTAGGAAGCAGTTCCCTTTTGGGGCGGGGCAAATGCTCCAGGGGCGGAGCTAATGTTTAGGGGCGGAGCTAACGCGGTGGGTGGGAGGAAGGACTACCGTTTAGGGGCTGGGCTACACTTAGGGGCGGGG